AGCTAGTCGTTCGATAAAACGTAAAACATGGAGCAAAACGCGGGTCAGATCTCAGCGCTGAAAAGAAAACGCGAGTTTATAAAGGCGGCATGTGCGCGCATTCGAACGTACGCAGAATCGGTGACGCTATTAACGCCCGAAACAATCGCGAATTTAGAAGTAAGAAGGGCAAGATTGTCGAGTTATTGGTCGGATTACAATAATTTGCAAGCCGAAATAGAGTCTCTCTGCGAAGACGAGGGAGACGATCGCGTGTCGTTTGAGGAAGCGTTTTACGAGCTGACCGCCGAATTACGCTGCGCGATCACTAATTATAACCGCACGATAGCCGGGGGTCCAGCCATGATATCCACGTCGATCGCGCCTCCGGCCGGCGTGAGCAGCTCCGCAAGTAACGTACGGTTGCCGAAGTTAGATTTGCCGAACTTTACAAGCAAATACGAGGAATGGTTTCCATTCTACGAGATGTTCAACTCGGTCATAAACGACAATCACGCGATAAGTAACCTTCAGAAGTTTCAATATCTGAGGGCATCGGTGACGGGCGAGGCGGCCAACGTGATTCGATCGTTAGAGTTATCTGAGCAAAATTATTTGGTGGCCTGGAATGCCTTAAAACATCGTTACGATAATAAACGCGCTATCGTGCACACGCATTTGCGTGCTCTATTTGAATTGCCGAGCATCGCGAAAGAAAACGCCTTCGAACTGCGTCGGGTGGCGGACAGTGTCGTCAAGCATGTACAGGCCTTGAGCGCGTTACAGTGCCCCACCGAGCATTGGGATGAGATGTTAATTTATCTAATCTCGTCTAAATTCGATCCGATCACTACGAAGGAATAGCACGCATCGCTGAGCGGGACGGAATTACCCACATACAGGCAGTTCGCGGATTTCTTAGAACAAAGGTGCCAATTATTAGAATCAATAAATAAGGGCGCAGTGGCGCAGACCAACGGAAGACGTTTAGCGGCTCATGCCGCTACCACCGCTCCCGCGTGCAGCTATTGCCACGGGGAGCATCCCATTTATTATTGCCGTGAATTTATTAAGTTGTCCGTCCCACAGCGGCTCGCTGAAATTCGAAAACGGAAATTATGTGTGAACTGTCTACGCGGAACAAATCACGCGGCTCGGAATTCTAATTCGGGTTCGTGTAAAAAATGCGGCGATAAACACAATTTCCTGCTTCATTTTCCTTCGAAATCTAACGATAATTCCACGAAAACAAGAGCAGGGAACGCGTCGGCTCGAGACGACGCCGAGGAGACGACGGTTATGACTCATTCGTCGACTTCTCATAATACCGGTGTATTGCTTTCAACGGCGGTTGTGTACATTGTCGATGCCAGCGGAACAAAGCATCCGTGCCGCGTTCTATTAGATAGCGGCTCACAGGTTAACTTTATAGCGCGATCTTATGCCGAAAGGTTGCAATTGAGGGCAAATCCGAGTAACATAAAAATAATAGGAATTAACGGTACAACCAGCAGCGCGAGCGAGGTCGTTGTAATAAAGTTACATTCACGATTGAACGAATTCGCCGCGACAATAGAATGCATAATAACGGATCGCATAACCGAGCGTCTCCCGGTGTCGTCAATTGACAGAACGGAAATACGGATACCGCCGACCATCAAATTAGCTGATCCAGATTTTCACCGAAGCTCGGACATAGACGTGTTGGTGGGTGCCGAATTGTTTTGGCAGTTGATTTGCGTGGGGCAATTAAGAGCCTCCCACGCGCACCCTACGTTACAGAAAACGCACTTTGGCTGGGTTCTCGCCGGTCGTTTCGGCGGCGAGACGCGTAAGACGCGCGCCCGCGAGATAGGAGCGTTCTGCGCGTCGGTAACCGAGTCAGAATTGCAAAATCAGTTAGCGAGGTTTTGGCAATTGGAGGAGAGCTGCCGGCCTCGCGATTCGTATTCGAGCGTGGAACGTTTTTGCGAGAAACATTTCCGCGACAACACGACCAGAGATGATCAAGGTCGGGTGATAGTTACGCTACCAATAAAGGAGGATAAAATAAGAAAGCTGGGCGATACGCGCGACGTGGCCCTGCGACGATTTTACGCTCTAGAAAAACGACTAGATCGCGATCCGATTTTGAAGTCGCAATATAGCAATTTTATCCACGAATACTTGTCGCTCGGGCACATGAAATGGATAGATAGCGTGAATGACGATGACGGAGATTTGCCGGCGTGTTATCTACCCCACCACTGCGTGCTAAAACCTTCAAACGAAACCACTAAGTTGAGGGTGGTCTTCGATGCTTCGTGCGAGAGTTCAACCGGAGTATCGCTGAACGACGCGCTTATGGTCGGCTCGACGGCACAGCAGGACTTATTCTCTATCATTTTGCGATTTCGTACGCTCGCGTTCGTTTTTTCGGCGGACATTGTCAAAATGTATCGCCAGATACTAATCAATCCGAAACAAACTAAATTGCAGCGTATATTCTGGCGAGACCACGCCGGCCTGATCTTACGAATAGGCGAACTATTAACAGTAACATACGGAACGGCAGCCGCCGCGCATCTAGCAATCAAAACCCTTGAATACTTAGCGGAGACCTACGCAAAACAGTTTCCCGTAGGGGCGGAGCATATAATGCGCGATTTTTACGTTGACGACATGCTATCGGGTGCCGATACGCTCGAGGAAGCACTAAAAATAAAGAGCGATGTCGTTGAAATTTTGAGTCGCGGCGCGTTTCAGTTAAGCAAATGGTCCTCGAATCATGTAGCTCTGTTAGGTGAAGATCAAAACAAACATAACGCCGATGTTCAAATCGACAGGGAATCGACGTCGCGCGTCCTCGGAATTGTTTGGAATCCGTCTACGGACACATTCCGTTTCGCAATTGAGAAGCCGGCAAACACGAATAAGATAACGAAACGTATAATATTATCGGAAATCGCGAGGCTGTTCGATCCGTTAGGCTTACTCGGCCCGGTCATCGTATTACCAAAAATATTGCTCCAAGAGATTTGGCAATTGAAGCTGCAATGGGACGAATCCATCCCGCTGGATTTGCATACAAGGTGGTCCGCGTTTAAAGAGCAATTGACCGCGCTGAATGAATTGAGAATACCGCGATTCATCAAGGAACGCGGCGAGCATTCGCGATTTCAGATACACGGATTTTGCGACGCCAGCCAGCGGGCGTATGGCGCGTGCTTATATATTCGGAGGCAAATCGGGGAGAATGAATTTCGCGTCGACCTGTGGTGTTCAAAGACTAGAGTCGCGCCTCTGAAAACGATTTCCATTCCTCGGCTGGAGCTTTGCGCGGCGCTATTGCTAGCGCAATTATGGGACAAGGCGCGCTCTTCTATCGAAGTGGGAGAGGCGCAGTCCTTTTTATGGTCGGATGCCACAATAGCATTGCGGTGGATTTCGTCGTGCTCGAGGAAATGGTCGGTATTTGTTGCAAATCGCGTCGGCGAAATACAACGGCTAACACGCGCTTCGGACTGGCGGCACGTGCCGTCAGCGCAGAATCCCGCCGATTTGTTGTCTCGAGGTATCTACCCGCATGAGATTCGGAGTTCGGCATTGTGGTGGCACGGCCCCGAGTTTTTGAGGGAGGGCGAGGCCGCGTGGCCAAGGGATAATCCATGCATCTCCGAATCTGAGATGCCCGAGATGCGAAGGACCGTTGCCGTCGCTGTTGCGGCAACGGCGAATCCGTTCGTGGAGCTGGCGCACAGATGCTCCAGCTTAAACAAATTGTGCAGGATCATGGCCTATTGCCTGCGATTTCTCAAACCGCATCTTCACCCGCACAGAGAAGCAGGCACTCGTGTCTCACACGAAGAAATCTGCACCGCGCTCGACTGCTTGTGCAAGAACGTCCAGAGAGACGCGTTTTCCAGCGAAATCCACCAATTAGAAGGGGGGGTCTCGCTTACTTCCTCCAGTTCTTTGACTTCGTTAGCGCCATTTTTGGACGAGCGGGGATTGATCCGCGTCGGGGGGAGACTGGGAAATTCCGAATTGTCGTACGGTGCCCGCCACCCGATCCTACTTCCAAAAAATCATCGGCTTACTCATCTTATAATAGAACGAGAGCACAGGCGTAACCTTCACGCGAGATTGCAGGGCACCATAGCCGCGGTGCGACAGAGCTTCTGGCCGCTT